GTTAGTGTTCAAAAAGTATTGTTTAATAGAAGATTTTGCGTCAAATCGAAGTTTTTTCAGAAGGAACCTTTTGGGAACGCAGTAGTAAATGCATTTAATGCTGCCTCAAGCGCGGGGAATCACGAGTGAACAAGTGGCGATTTGTTGTAGTTTTTCATCTGACTGTTGACGAGGGGGAAGTTATAAATCAACCATCATGCGCGTAGCATAGCAAGACCAATGGAATCTCAAGTAAACTTCTATAAATTAATTCGTTTTGCTTCCTTCCTTAACCAGCTTTTGGAGTTAGCCAAGAAAATCACCAAAAATACAGACCAAGAACAAGCAAAGACTGCATTTAAACGTCTAATCAGTGAGTCCAGTCAGTATTACAACGATGGTGCCATTCCAGCAAACGAATCTGATGCGAATGCGCACAAAGTATGCAGCAGTGTAAAGGATGCAAAGAAATACTGTCCCAAACGATTTGCTGCCATGAACAAATGGTTTGCTCACTCTAAAGAAGTAAGAGCCATCAAGCCGCCATGTTTGTTTTGCAAGTTGACATTTTTAAAGCTCGCGCTATGTTCCTATCGAGATCTCGCGCGGTCAAAAACCCTATGGACTCTCCCCAAGTTCAAAATTGTATCATTGAATCGACGCACCAAGTACTTCTCTTAGAAGTTACGTGCGAGGATGGCGTTACACGTAGTACCACTAAAAGTGCGCCAGTTCTGGTAGGCCCCTTATGCTGCCTGGGTCCTGATCTAGGTCTGACACAGGGGCTAGCTGTGTCCCTGGTAGCAAGTACTAAACATGTTGCCTGGGTCCTGATCTAGGTCTGACACTGGGGCTAGCTGTGTCCCTGGTAGCAAGTACTAAACATGTTGTCGCTAAAGGCATATACCATCGGTAGCATCGAGCTTCCATGCGCATGATCATTTAATCAGGGGGGAAAACCTAATCGCAAAAAGCGCCTTATGATCAAATCTTACTTTATTATTTTTTTTTTATTATTATTATTATTATTTGTATTGCGCCTTTTCTATAAAATATTCAAAAGCGATAAAATATTCAAAGCAATACCGATAGGTATTTACTTGTATTTTCATTCTAGCGCATTTGTTTTGTTTGTTTGTTTGTTTTCTTCTATAGATTATGGCGACTTTAGATTACGAGACAGCAGACTTGTTCTATTTTACTGGCCCTTACCACTCCACTCCAAACTGTCCCATCAAACTTGACATCGATTTCAATCCATCCAGCGGTGTGCCATTTTACATGAGCTCTGATAAAGATTGCTCCAGCGTCGCCAGCTATAACATTCCGTTCTTCCTTGAGAGGCCTGGGCCTAGATATGAAGCAGTCTCGCTGGCAGCGCATGAAGCGAGGCCTGGGCACCATACCCAAGTGAGTTGAGTCGTGATTTAAAAATCGAACGAGCACGTTGTACTAGTTCGATTTGAAATCACAAGTACGATTTCGAACCAAAATTGCACCGGAGGAATTTCATTTACCACTTTATTATATCTGTTTTTAAATCGCAATCTTCAATCGTTTAGACAAAAAACAAAAAAAAGTAGCAAAATTCGCCATTCATTTCCCGGCATGATTCGTTACTTTAAACAAGTCTGCAAATCTATTTGTTGTTTCGCTTTAGTGTTGCCTTCTGATTGGCTGAGGAATATGATGCGATTTAGAACAGAAACTGGTGCTAATCGTAAGTACATCGCGCTCCTTAGAGCCAATCAGATTACAATGATCATCGGTGATTTCAAAATAGTAAAGAGGGATATGCTAGATAAGCTTATCAATCGCAGTGATTATACAAAACCGAAGCAAATCCAAAACAACTCCTGACCATTTTAACCATGAATTTTCTGAATTGCTCTTATCTCCTTTACGGAAAAGAAATCGGGCGTTAAACTTTCTTTGAAATACAATTTGTCTTAACTTGATTGAAATCTTAATTTTGAATGATATTATTGTCACAAAGACTACACTTTCTCTTCAAGAGACGCTGGGCTCATCCTCTTTCGTTTCGTCTAACGCATTTCGGCGACAGAAAAGATAGTAAATTTGAGCTAGGTAGTCGAATGAAAGTCATTTTTCTTAGTTTGGGTGAGAGCTTTGGACAAAAAATAACCAGACGTCGTGATGGTCTTCGTGACAATCAAGTTCTCTATCAGAGATGGTGCATCGGACTTGTCTGGACGGTTCGGCGTCTGAAGTGACAAACATTAAGATAAAGCGTCTTCCAAAATGGATTTTGAGATTTTGACTTGATGAATTCGTTTTGCTGAATTGAACTTAACTCAGAAGTCTTGTGTAAAAAACGTTAGAAGAATAGTAAAGCTGCACTCATCAAGGTTTATTTAATTTCTTATCTCGATTTCTCCGTTCCCGACAACAAATGATACAGTTTACCATGTTTTAGAGTGTAGAGAACGTATATGATGTTGGTATTACGCATGCTCTATTAACACTCACACTTACTTATGTGCGTCTCAGATGCAAGGTTATATCGAACAGTTTTCGGACTCGTGCAAAGGACCTATTAGCTGGATCGCTGACAATACTTTATATCTCACCTTCACGGAGGGCTGGGCACTTTACTGTGAGAATCCACTAATTCCTGAACATACTACAGTATATGAAACTGATCCAATAAGCAAGTATGGCATGTTAAAATGGCAGGTGAGTCCCCAAGGCATCTGACTTTGAGGTGGTTAATTTGATCAGTTAATCCAAACTGAGTAAAACCATTGAGTCACTGCTCTCATTGAGAAGATAAAATGTCCTGTGTTTCTTAAAGTTTGTCATTTGAGACAATTTTTTTACGTATACCTAGCTAACAGAGAATAAAAACTCTTAATGAAAGAAAGCTGTAGTGGAAGGTTTGCTTCTAAGAGAAAGGGCTTTTTGCTGTTTATGTACATCTCAGGTATGATTTGCCTGAAAGATGGTTGATGGAGGGAGGGGAGGTCCCGGAATACCGTGCTACTCCAGTTGACCGAACTCATATTAAGAAACCTTAGAGGGTATCCGAGTCTTTCTCTCGTCCGTGGACCCTGTGGCCTCCGCCCGAGGTATAAAACGCTTTACCAGCTTTTTAAGCCGTAATGGGAGTTAACCTCTGTTCTGATTCCCTCTCTGATTAGATCTGGCGAGCATTACGCCTGATGATGGACACAGGGCTTCATTCAAAGGGACGAAATCGAGCCTGGGCGCTGAAATTGTTTGAGGACTACGCCTGGGACACCAGTGACGTAGCCGTTAAGGAAGTAACGCGCTACCAAAGCATTCCGGGACAGGCCGTCACCTACATGATAGGACAACTCGCGATCATGAAATTCCGGGACAAAGCTAACAATACGCTGAACGAGCAATTCAATATCAAGGAATTCCACTACCAGGTTCCATAACATTTTGATTTACTAACACAAACGGTCGTCTTTGAATTCAAGGGACCGATGAAATGGAATTGGTTTCCCAGATAATAGCTATGGTCACACTACAGGCTTTTACCCGGCGAAAATCGTTTTACCTAGGAAATATTCCCCTAGGTAAATTTACCTCAGCTTTCATTTTCCCTAGGTTAAAAGGTCACACCGGAGACCATTGGACCTTGGGAGGTTTAACGTCACAATGGATTAAATTTCAGGTCGTGTGTTCAAAATTTTGAAGTAAAAAATTTTGGCGCAAAAACCGAAAACATGCTCGAGAATCAAACGGAGAGCAAGAGTAACTGATTTTACTGCAGCGCCTGATTTCTTGAAGGATTCAAAGAATATTAACACTCGTGTCTCGCTTGCAGACCACCGCTTGTTTATCGCGGTTTGCTTGCCGCGTTTCGTTTCGTTTCTGGTGACGTCTTGAGGGATCGGATTCGGATTAAAATATCCAGAATATACAGAAAATGCTGAAGCTCCATATGCTGGCAAGGTCGGGTAGCTGATGAACTCCGTGCTATCCAAACCTCGACTGGGTCCGGCTTCTAAATTGTTTTCCTGACGCCGCGACAACTCGGAGAACAGATAGCCGTTGCGGTATATCGACTCGGCCGGTTTTTCTTCAGGATTCAATCTGTTTCTGAAACGAAATTTGTCTTCAATTAGATATAAGTTTATAAGAACAAACTAAACCCGGAGTGAATCAGAAAAAAATAAGGAATTCAGAAGCGATTTATACTCACATGATTTCCCTAAATCGCGACATCGGGGATTTTCGCGCGCACGCAGCAAAAATCTTCAACAGAAGTCACGTTCTCAAACATTTCCAAAATTAGTTTCACAACACGATAATTCCGGATCTGTCACCAGCGCGATGGCCGACGAGCGTCCATTGGTCGGCTAATCTGGGATTTTATTTTTCCCTTTTTCTGCTTTAGGGTAGTTGTCAAGGGAAATCCACAGGACATTCTTTTGTTCTCTTGCGGTATTCAAGCCCCAGACGATAAAAACTTTCCCGAGGTAATATACTCAGGGAAAAATCGGTCACACTTGCAAATTTGAGTTTCCCGAGGGAAACTGTCAACAAGTCAAGTTTCCCCAGGACAAAACCCTGTAGTGTGACCACAGCTAATCAAACACCACTGAGGTGAGAGTTACCCAAAAAGGAAAAAGGATGTTTGAGGATAAGGAAGATCACAACGATTTAAAACTGGACGAGAAAACCTGGGCTAAATTTTTAAGACGTACAAATCGCACGCGAAACGTAACTTCTCGAACATCTATCTGACGAAATCCTGTCTTGATTCTAGGTTCTCCGTCAAGGTCCTTCTCCCCTTAGATACCTTGAAGAGGTTATCGACAAGTACATATCCTGTGTACAAGACAAGAAAGAAAAGGGATGCGATGAAGTCATGAAGCCACCAGCATCTAAATCTTACGGCTCTCAAAGAAGATCTGTGTTAGAAGGCATGCAGCTTTCTCCTTGGGTTATGTGACATTTATTTCAGTAGCATAAACAGTGAGGCATCTTACTGACGTTTTCTAACCATGTGCATATTTTAGTAATGCAAGCCTGCAAATTCAATCAACAGTCACTTCTCTATGTATGTTACTGTACAGAGACAATTTACCTTTGTGGTTATCATTCAAATTTTATGCAAAATACCAAAGGGCTGAGTCTGAAGATTTCCTTTGCTGTTTTTTTTTTTTTTTGTAGATAAGTTTTTGTTCCCCTCCCTTTGAAAAAAAAATTTACGATAAAAAATTTCTTGCTCCACCAAGGTAATAATTGATGGACTTAAATGTCTATCTTTCGATCTATTTTCATTGCCCCTATGAAGCGAAACTTTTGAGCCCTTCAGCTCCCTAAACTTCGTTCAAGCGAGAAACAAACAAACAGTGGACAAATGTAGGTTCAGATTGAATTTGAAGTGAAAACAACAAGCAGTGTAATCCACTGTCCAAGTAGACCTTCAGGTAGTCTCTTTGTAATGGACCTTTTTCATGCTCTGCTAAAAAGGCTGTTTATCCTAAAGAAAGTACATTTCGTTTAAAGAAAAAACAGGGTTTCTCAACATTCTCCCATGAGTAATAGTACATTGCATAAACGCAATTCCCTCTATGATATAATTATGATTATCATCTAATGTACTTTCCAGTGTAACCAAGATATCTAACGTCTCACTTTGCACTGACTGAAAATTTATTAGTTTTCAATGACTGTACGGGAATAAAGTTAGCAATGCGAAATAATGAAAAAAAAGTCTTCTTTCTGGTTTAAGATTGGATGATTGTATAGCAGGCTCCGGCGTGCTTTGGCACCGAAGAAAATGCCACGCACCTTTTACCATGGCAATTTCAATTAAGCCCAGAAAGGATGCAAAACGTGGTCTTAACTTTGATCTTAGCCATAGTCAAGGGCCTTAAACAAAATTGAATTTAGAACATTTTGAAAGAATGATGACGCAAATGTTCTGAAATATGTCTTGTCTTTACGTTTCCAGAGTTGTTTGGAGCTCGCAAGAAATCTTCACAGTCTGGTTGACTTTCAGCGTCCTTAACGCATGCTATGTACTTGTAGATGCTCTCTTTAAGATAATTCAAAGGCGAGGGTCCATGCCTTAGGACCTGTGGAGATGTAGAAAGCAAATTATTGGAACTATTTGGTTTATTAGGAGAACTGGATAAATGATATCCAACCCTATTTTGTTACTTTCGTTCTTCCCGAAGGCAGGTGCTACTGAGTACACAGCAGAAATTATACCTTCTATTGCGTCTCTTTTAAAAGAAAGAATTCAGAGGAAGGAAGGAAAGAGTGAAGGAAGGACGGATTGAATTTGAGGTCTAAAAGCAACACGGAAAAGGCTTACAGCCACTCTCCGAGTTAAAAAATGATCCCTAAACGAAGCGCGGAAAATAATAACCTAAAAACACCAAACCTAAGAATCACCTGAAAATGAAAATCCTTTATATTAAACTTCTCCCCCAGAACCTTCTCTGCTTCCTGTTTCAGCTCCATGATTGACAGTTGCCCGAGCATGTAAGTGACAGCTTGTCCGGGAATGCTCTGGTACCGAGTTACTTCCTTCTCAACTTTGTCACTTGTGTCCCAAGCTTAATCAGCAAAGAGCCTTAGAGCCCAGTCACGCGACTTGCCTTTGTAATGCAGCCCTGTGTCTACGATCAGTCTTAAGGCTCGCCATATCTTGTGAAATAAGATAAATAAGATAAGGTATGTAAAAAAAAAAAAATCCCCAGATGGAAACGTTATGTTACCAGAGCCTGGAATAAACTTCCAGACACCAAAATGGATCGTAAAAATTGAGTGGGAAAGAAAATGGTGAATAGTTCAGAATATTGACACGGAATACAAACTTGTTGACGGACTTGAACTGAAAATTTCACCTAAAAGTTTAGACATATCATGACCTGGCAACGCCTTCAAATATATCGAACATTAGCTAGGTTAATGAAGAAAACATTTTCCCTCTACAGGTGTCAAGCTTATATAAGAAAAGAGCATTGTAAATCAGCTACGCGGAATCCACTCCACAACCTAAATCGTTATCCTAATTGAGGACTAAGAATAATTGAATATGCATTCAAATTCTCCTGTGATTACTGAAGCCGGTCCCGATTGCGCTTGGCAACTAATGAGCAACTTTTGGCGTTTGAAGCAACTTTTCGTGGTTCTAGCAACCTCGACCAATTTTTCTCTTTCTGAGCAAGACAGGTTTAGAGCACATTTAAAGCACGAAAAAGTCAGCGATTTTAAAGAAAACTTCAATTGATGCGAACTTCTTGAGTGAAAACATAAACTCTCACTTGACGACGTTTTGCAGGCATGTTGCAAATTTTAATTCTATAACGGATAATCGGCTAAGATAACGTTCGACGAGACATCAAATGAAGCATGTGTTTTGTTCTGTTGGATTTAAGAGTGTCCTTAATTTTCGCCAATATTTTCGAGCAACTTTTTAATGGTAGTTTCAAGTTATTTTTCTTGAGCAATGTTAGCAATTACTGGTAGAACAAAAAATAAAGCTTTTGACTACCATCTAAAAGTACTGAGAAATTTTGATAGCCCCTTTTGAAATTTTGATATCAACTTTTTAAATTTTTGGAAATTTTTTTAGCACCATTTTGGCATTCCAGAGAGCAAGATTTCCAGCCTTTCACGCATACAATCGGGACAGACCTACCCCGTGATTGGTGAGTAAAATTACCTGCCATTTGAGCATGCCGTATTTGATCAGCGGATCATACTTGTAAGTGTCTGTATAATTTGATATCAGCGGATTCTCTGCGTAAAGAGCCCAGCCTTCAGAAAACTCCAAGAAGAATGTGCTCTTTTCGATCCACGAGATGGGATCAGAACAGTCTTCTTGAAAATTCTCCACATATCCTTGACTCTGGAGATAAAACAAAAAACCAAAGTATTAGAAAGAGATCATTTATCTCTATTAGTTGAACAACACAGCGCTCGCGAGGGAGCTAAACTATATCCTTAGTGATATGCCAAACACACAACGGTGGAGTAACTAACCTGTGTGTAGTGTCCAGGCCTTGCCTCGTGTGCATTTATGGTCCATTCTTCATTCCTAGGGCCGGGCCTTTGCAGGAAGAATGGAATGATGTAGGTGGAGGGCCTGGTACACTCTGAGTTACTCTCTTGGAAAGCTGGAGCCGCAGAGGATGGGTTGAAGCTTGGGACGAGCTGAACGGGACAGTTTGGAGTAGATCGGTAAGGACCAGTGAAATGGAATAAGTCGATCGTTTTTGGATCAAGAGTAGCCATAATCTAAAATCAGTGGAAATGAGACCTATTAAAAAGACATTAAAAAGACTAACAACAACAACAAGAACAACAAAACAACAACTAAATTTTCGTAAATACTTAGCGTGAGGCTACAAAAAAGTGGAAACAGGTACCAATTCCACATAAGTGTCTACTTCAACAATATCCTGAGCACACGTGGCAACTTATTACATAGAGCTAGAAATTACGTGGAAATCTCGAGTTTCAACTCAATGGCATCTGACTACAAGAGCCTATAGTTTTCTCGAAAATGATGTGTAGTGATCTGCAATTCAACATAAAAGTTCACCTTAAACAAAAGTGAAATTCAAACTGACCTCTCGCGCATGAGCAAACCAGTTTTGCATGGCATTCCAGCGAACAGGACAATGCCTTTCGGCTCCAGAGACTGTACTGCACAGCCTATAAGCAACTGTGTTTGATTCGTTCCTTGGAATATCTTTCTTGTTGTAAAACATTTCCGATCCATTCAGCATATTAATAAACTTTTCCTTCGCCCTCTGGGTGTCATTCTCATTGGTTATGTTTTGCGCTAAGCTTAGAACCTCAAATCAAAAGGAAAACGCACAAAGAAGTCACAGTTAAATTATTGGAATATGCAAACAACGATATAATTTTCCTTTGCCAGGTTAAAGTGATATGCGGTTCGGCAAATTTAGCAAAGCAATACGGAGAGTCTTGTCTCAAATAGGCAAATTTGTGGAACTGGTGATTGTGTATTTCAATAGTTCAGGGTCAGAATTGATGGCAATCTCTCCATTAGCTCAGATCATAGTATTTCATCTCTTATTGAATCGCATCTAAATTTCGATTGCGTTATGTAATAGTCTTGCTGAGTTCGGTGCAAACAAACAATGTTTTCTGAACGAGACTTTTAGCTTCTACGGCAAAGAACAAAAATACTCAAATCCAAAGGAATCATTTTTCAAGACGTATCATCTCACCTCCGGATAACTTCGATCTATCATTAACCAGCCCAGCTCGTATATTTCATTCGGGGTTTTATTGGTGGTGGTAAAGTACTGCAGAAGCTTCAGATAGGTGGTTTTCCCGTCGAGCTTTTCGCCCGTGGGCAGCCTTTTAGTCGTTCTTCTGTCTGTCTTTGTACCGTTGATATAAACGTAATCAAGGGGTAGGCTGGCTAAGCCACTGGAAAGATTGCTGGGGGTGCAGTACTGTAAATGTTCCTCTTCGACGTACCTTAGATCAAACAATTTTATTTAAGCCGAGTGTGATGCATTTAAGCCCATTGAATTATTAGGGAGTTAATGTAAACCACGATGGCAACGGCTACGGGAACGTCACCAAACAAAAGGATTAATGAGCAGAACAATGACTGTGCGCATGCGTTATAAATTTTTGTAAATTTCTTTGCGTCCTTTGCAAAATAACAACTTGAACGTGAAATTATCAAACTTTGCGTTGTCTGGAGAACGTGAACGACGACGGCTACTTTTTTAAATTTGTTTTTCAAGTTTAACGCTGTGTTCCATATTTAGTTTCGAGATAGTTTTGACAGTGTGTAACAAACTAAACGGCGTAAGAGTATCGTGAGATTCACAGGTAAAAAATAGTTCAACTCCTAACCGACGTTGTCTGTGGTTTCACCGTCGTCGTTTCTTGAGCTCCCTATTAACTTGGTCGTTTATATCTGTATGATATATAATGATGAGGAGAGACAAAATTAAGAGCAGGTGGGGTACTGAATTGAAGTCACACTGAATTCTCTTATTTAAGTTTCAAGCATATGTGAAGTATCCAGATGGAAGACTTGTAAGCCCCATCTTGGGAGTATGATCGTTTATCGTGTTGATAAATTTATTGTAAGATAAGGTTGAAAAAAGTGACTTATCCTCTGAGATTTCGCGATCTGAACAGTCCTTGTAGGAGAATAAATACTCATATATGTGCATATATGTGCTTAGGAGCCACAACTACGAGCCTTAACAAAACTCGATGAGATGTGTTTTTTGACTCCCCGGCCGCCATATTTGTGTGCCCCTCTGAAGGACACAAACATGGCGTCTCCATACAAAACCTTACAAATTTGAGTAAAACATTTCTTCAAATATATTCCGCGCGAAACATTGTACAGATCTGAAGCTATGTTGAGATTGGCGGCCACTGTAAATGCTTGGGTTTACTAGATTTTATGATACACTATCGAAATGCATTCAAACAGTTAGATTTAACCGCCAAGTCTTTTTACAAATATCAAATTTCTGAGTTACGCACTCACCTCAATGCGCGCTGAATCGGCTCACCAACATAATGTATGACAAACTGCCTTAAAGACTCATTCACCGCTTCACCGTACTTAGTTTTCCACAACTCCGATTCTTTTGAATTCATCTTGGAAAGGAAGTCGCTGACCAGAATTTTTTTCATGTATGGTGCATCAAGAATCCCTGGAAGACGAGAGGAGAGAGACTAACTTGTGCAACAGCGACTCACATTGTGACAACTTAAGCGAGCGGAAGTCATCAGCGCAGGCCTGATGGGATTTATATCGACCCCTTTACCCTTTTTAAGATATGATTAATTCTCACCCCTATCTGCTACATATATCCTTGTAAATTAGTTACGAGAATTTTATTTATTTATTTATAAAAAATGTTTAAAGAGGGAGCCCAGCTCGCCATAACGGTTTTCTGGTGTTAGATCAGGATATTAACTTTTACCTGATAAGTTTATGTATTCTTATTATCTGTTTTGTTGGATAAATAATGATTTTGTCTCATCAGCAGCTCGGAGGTGAATAGTCCTGGCTATTTACTTCCAAACTAACCAATCAGCGCTCGAGAAAAGCGCTATTTACTTGTGTGTTGTATACTAATTAATATTAGTATATTTCAGAGCTGAGTAAAATTTCCAGCAATCTGATTGGTCGAGCGGTTCCTTATATGACGCTATATAAACCGCTCCACGCGGTTTATATAAAATGTTAAAATAAAATGTTAATAAATGTTACTAAAATGTTATGATTTTAGAAATTTCTCTGTTGTTCAGCTCTGAAATTATACAAAAACAATTATTCAACTCACCTTTTGGCGAATAATTGTTAAATATAATTATGATTGTATTACTTGAAATTTTATTTTTTGTGTTTTTGTAAACTTGTAAACTCGGCTCCACGGCTAAACATTTCCATGATCCACATTTAATCAAGTCATGTCATCTAATCTTAACCGGCATAACCACCAGAGAAATAATCACCAATTATACGACGGATCAAAACTGATTTTGACCAAAGTTCAAAGAGAGAGTCATAATATGAGGCCATGAAATCACTGAACGAACGAAACAGAGCAATGTCACTTAAGTCTTCCGACGGATTGAATTCGACCGACCACAGCTGAAAGCGCTACTGCCCACCTAAAATTTGTTTCATTTCGAGGTACAATGTTTTCAAAACTTAGTGGACAAGATAACTGTCTACATTTCCTCATTTACTTTTAATTACTAAACGTACAACACGGATGCCACACTGAACAACTTAACGTTCTCCACTGAAAAATCACAAATGAAGACAATCGGGAAAGGTATGATCGAGTCTCAAAGGCTGCAACTCTCAAACACTAAACCTAGAAAATAAAGAGCTTTTAAACTGCTCAGAGTTAATTTCAATCAGATATTTTTCTTTTCTAAGTTTATTGATTTCCTGAAAAGCCCTTTTTCCAATGGTTTGTAATCACGATACCAAGAAACTTTTTTCCAAACAAAAAAAAACAATAAAGGCTGATAGTTTCGAAAGAAACTGTTTGGGGCTGCGTCGGTGGGAGTAACGAAATAATTTGGATATATCAACAAAGTTGAAATGGTAAATTCGCTCCGACGAAGGGCTAACGCTCGAAACGTCAGCTTTTGTAATCATTACGGTGGCCAATTTACCATTTCAACTTTGTTGATATATCCAAAAAAAAACAATTTTCGATTTATTTACTGGCGTTATTATGATTTCATATATTGTTTTCTTTTTTTTTTATTATTTTTGACAAGAGAGCGTAAATAGACCTTAAAAGAAAAGCAGGTGTCCTATATAATATATTAAGGTTTTAACTCCGAAATTTAACTTTTGCGGTCGTATTTTAGGATTTATTTCTCTTTCTCCGATAGGAGAAATTCTCTGTTTTGGCTAATATGAGGCTTTAGTGCAATTCATATATAGATTTTTTACCTCTTTATTCAAGAAAATTTGTCATTTTAAGTTAATGAAATTTTTTCTTGTTTGCGCTAGGAATTATAAGTTCTATAAGAGTAACAAAACTGCCGGTGTCTCTCCATCTCATTAAGAGGTAAAAAGTTGTCAGGGGCTTAAAGACTTGAGAATAAATCCTGTTAATTTCATGTGATCTCAGTAGACATTATTATGACAGGACATTTTCAGCAAAGACTTTTAACGGTGCAAAAACAACTTCAAAGCATAATAACATAATATTTTGCAAATAAAGAAAGGAAACAGTTATTGAAACACACCTGCAATCTGCGAATATATTCTCAATTCCAAAGAACCTATCATTTTGTTTTGTTTTATTCATTTAATCTGAAATGTCCATAAGTGTCTGAAAATCGCAAATTAACCTCTAATAATTTTGTTGGAATATAGAAGCTACGTTATAGCTACAGTGTCTATTCGGATGTTTTGTGTCTACTCGACGCCCTCAGTTGATTTGAAGAAATTTATCGCACAATGAATTTACAGCGTTTGAGCACGTTTTCCAGCTAAAAAAAAAAATAGTAATGCTCCTAGGAATATTTTGAATGAAAAAAAATTTTCCACTTAATAGTTTTAGTACTTCAATCTGAGAGAATTTTTTAATGACAGCTATAAGCTTTGATCTTAAAATGAATTTCAGAGTCCGAGAGAATAAAAAAAAATTTATGATCCAAGACCAGATGGATTAAAATTTTCGTAAAACATCAAAGGTGATATGATTATCATCCTAAGCTGTAAGCTACTCCGACGATGAAATAATTTTCGTCTTTTCAGATTGATCAGGAATTCTTACAGCAGGTCAAAAGTTTGTCGCATTAATCGAGAACACTTGGCGTTAATATTTACATTTTTGCATTCACTGAGTTGGACACATTACTGTGTAAGAAATTAAGACCCTTATTTCCTTACCAGCTGGGCCATTAATGTCAACTTCTCTAAAGGCGCCTCTCAAACCATCCAGCCCCGCCTTACACTCCTCGATCGTACGAACCATACCAGTGGCCACGCCTAATTTCATGTTCTCCACAAACTGAATAAATGTTTGGTTAATTTCCATCAACTTATCCCTTAATATCTCCACTTCAGACACAGTCGACGGCTGGAAAAGGGGCAGTGGGCTGCCCACATCCATAGGCAAGAAACAGATAGATGACCAACAGAAGACATTTGGTCCCATGAGCCAATCTCCCGAGTAATAATCATAAGAGAAGGGGACGCCATAAGGAAAAATATGCCGCATCCAGTGTGAAAGCTGCGCTTTGGCCCGCTTTTCCCTCAGTGTCAGTTTGTTTTTTTGAATGTTCATGTTTTTAAGCCTCTTCGTCAGTTTAGCTATCTCGTCTGTAACGAATTTTATCTGCATTGGCGTGGAATCGTAGCTTTTATACCGCTGGCGGATTTCACTTAACGTTACCCCTGGTTTGAAGGCGATTTTATGCGGTAACAACTCGTAAAATCTCTCTTGAGCTTCGTATAGAAACCTTACTAGTCCTGAAGATTGCGCTTCCCCTGAATATTCACAGCCACTCCTGATTGCTCGTGTAACCTTGGCAGTTTGACATTGCTCGCTGTTCTTCCGCACCGTGTTCGCTTGGATCATCATAACAATACCTGCAACAAGGCAGGCTATTCCAGCGATTATCAACGCGCCCACGATAACAGATTCACATCTAGTCCGCCGCCTAGTAATTCCAACCTCTTTATACAACAACGCCATTCTAAGGTGAGAGGAAGAAAAAGTCCACAGGGCCAAAAAAGTGCATTAAGTTCAACGCCGAGTGTCAAGTTTTATGGTGTTTCGGAAATCGCTCGAGTGGCCCCAGAAAAAACAATTCTTGCCAAAGTGCAATCAGTGTTTTGTTTTGGGGTCTTAGGCCAATCAATTTTCACAAAATCGCGTCCGGTTTTCTTCATTTTTATTTCTTCATTAGTGAATAAGTTTCGCCGGTGTCATTTGCTGTGATAGAAAGATGTTGACTTTTTTTGTTAACTGTTATGGAAATCTGGCACTTTAAGGTAGCGCGTGGAAAAGCTAATCTAGAAATGTAAACAAAAAAAGTAAATAAATCGTCTGAGATAGGTCAAATTAACGGTTTTGGAGATAAATTGCTCGACGCACTTCAAGATCAAAATCATTGTCGAATGAACTCTTCCACGGGCAAAAATTACGGCTACAGCGATTTGCCACCAAATCTCGCAAAAAAAATTGTCAGGAAAATTCGTTACGAAGTATATGTCAGAAAAAAGTAGTTTATTGACTCATTCAGCTGCTATTCATCCTTAAATCAAAGCTTTTCAGTTTTTTTCACAATTACTTTTTGTATCTTCATTTTCATATTCGTGTTTTGATGGTCATCCTTGAATCAGAGCTTTTCAGTTTTTTTTTTATAATTACTTTTTGTATATTTATTTTCATATTCGTGTTTTGTGATAAGTATTTTTCCCCAAGCTTTTAGAGGTCTTTCCGGAGAAATAAGTGATATAATTTCGTTGAGTGTTTATTTAAATTACGTAAACAGCTTTCGAGAACTTTCATTTTTCCGCATGCTTGACCCCCTGTCAGACATCAAAATACAAAATAACCTTCAATAACTCAGAAGTTTTAACCTACGAGGTGTAAATTTTTACACATATTTTTTTCCACAAACTCTAACACTTGTCAGAGGCAGCGGAGTATTTTAAATCGTGGGGGAGGGGGGGGGGTTCTCATAGTCACCCAGCCATGCGCATACCCCAACTCAAATTTTTCAAAATGTCCCCTTTGCGTTGTTCGTTGGCAGAATCGATTTGTGACTTATTTTCTTTTTTCCGGCACATTCTAAAATCTTTCAGCTCAGCATTCGATTGGGTTCCCTTAGGACAAAATTAAATCATGTGTAATCTCCAGACTGTCTAGTTTAATGGGCAATTGCTGCAGATGATAAGCTTCTGGCCAAACACGGGCCGGAGCTGTTAAAAAATTTTTTTTTAAATATTATTTCACCAAACGCGATGCCAATAAAAGGATTTTTGGAAAGATAACGAGATAGAATAATTTGCCAATTTTTTTATGCTGCATTGGCGATACTTTTGGCACCAAAATGTGAGGGGGGGGGAGAGGGTGTGTCCTGCTTATTTTTTTTACCGCCTGTACTGCTCTGCTTCCCTATGCTTGCCCTCAAGTGAAAATCTAAAATCTCCCATACATCAAACCTTAGCTCAAAACCAGCCCTTTGGGAGAGGAGAGGATTAAAAGGATATCAAGATTAATATTCTCCATACCATTTTCCATCCATTTCCTACGAAGCTGACAAGGAGAATTTGTATAACAATCAATAGCTTCTTTACTTGGTGATCATTTCCTTTATTCTCATGACCTCAATGCATGATTCAGTGGTGAAATTGTGAGGAGAAATCAGATGCTAATCGGTGAAAGCGATGCAAATCTCATCACACCCAATTGTCTTCCCAAATTTCTAAATATCAATTCTCTGTTCTGTCTCTTTTACATTTCTTAAAATCTTGGCTGTAATGACTTTGTGTTATATCAAACAATATCAAGTTTTTCACATTTCTTTTTCCTTCTCACCTGCTTTTCCCTAAAACATGTAACAATATTGGAGAAATCCCCTCATTCATACTCTTGGGGGTAAGAAGGATTCACTCAGAGCACAAGAGTGAAGCCAAGTTGTTACCAAAAGCTTGACATTTTCCTTCCCTGTTATTGTTGTTTTTCTTTTTTCTCAATAAAATAAACACTATTGGGATTTCTGTTTACTCTCCACTGGTGTTCTTCAGAGACACCAGCATCCCCATGCAACTGTAATAATACTTGTAGTATCAGCGACAGAAACTAGTAAGAGCAACATACTGGATGTAGTAGTCAAAAAAGTAGACATATTTATTTGTAGCTATGATGCCAGCCATAAGAAGACCAACATAAAGGTACAAGATAATCTTCTTGATCAAGCATTTCAGATGCTCAGTTCCTGTTTACATAAACAACCATGGTCCATAGCTAAAACATGATCATCTCATGGTTCCAGAACAAGTCCATACCTGCAACCTATTATTATTTTATAAAGACAACAAGTTTTAAGAAGAAAGACTTATTCCTCTTGGTGTTACATATATATAAGTCACAGAAGCAAACCCATTTAAAAAGCCAACTTCTTGATCAAAAGGTACACATGGTCATCAACTTCCATTCCATGCAAGTTGTTAGCATCACCTTGAAGCCTCATTAGAAGTCCACCAAAAGACACATATGCAGCTCTGTGAAAATTGAAAAAAAAAAAAAAACACATGCTTTCACCACAAGTTATCTAAAGCATATTTTCATAATAAAAACAAACGCCAAAATACAAAATAACCCTTTTACAACAGCTGGTATTTTTAGACAGATAATTTTCACGTTATCACAAGCATGGGAAAAAGAGAAAAAATATCATGAGTCACCATGAGGAATCAAACCTCAGACCTTCAAATTCTGTGCCCTCAGGTGCTCTTCTACTGAGTAACAGAGTCTCTATGGCAAGCAAGGCCATCATGAAGATAATAAATCACATGCGCCATGCTAGAATCAGCAATGATGTGGGCAAAATTAATTATACATATCACTATTAGTCAGGCAGGCAACCTCTGACAGCTTTATTTTTACTTAATATAGGATACAAAAGGCTGTACCTTTTTTGTTTTGCTTCTTAAAAGATTTTCCTCTGGACCCAAATTTTTTATTTTCTCCTCATTGTTATATTTTGATTATTTCATTTTAATAAAAAATAAAGAAACTTCAACTGTGGTCTTTTCTGTTGTAAAGCATGCAGAAAGTGACTAGAGCACAAAAGAAGAGTAGTGGAAAGACAAGGAGTGTTAGAGTATTTCCTCTTATCCCTGATCCCAGGAATTGGTCTACCAGAGGACAGATTGTTCAATTGCATAACACAATTACTCATTGCATCTGTACTATTATAATAATAAAGCATGCTGTTTCAGCCAACCAGAATGTACATTATATAGAAATGTTATTGATGATAAATACATATATGTCACACTATACATTTTTTAATAAAATGTAATGCCAAAGACTTGAAAAACATTGGCTTTTTTTTTTACTTGGTATTTTATTGTCATACGTTTTATAAATGAGTCTCTGGCTTGGATGACTGGGGCAACCCCATCCTACGTTTTGACATTAATAAATTGATTGATTGATTGATTGATTACACTCTATCTCCCAATAAGAACCAATGCTCTACGTCAGCTACTTTTCTCTCTCCACAAAGTGGTCACTGTCTAATGTATTTGCGGGTTTACTCACAGTCTTGTTGGAGCATCAACTCCACTTTCATCTCCTTCTATTCTATAAACTTTTCCGTACATGACGTATTCAAACTGGTCCGCACGTGAGGGCCCACTGTCAGAAGGGTTATATTCACCATCATCTGGGGTGCCATCTTCTCTGAGAGTATTTGCCAAAACAAGTCTGAATTTCTCCCCGTAGTCAACTGGATAGATCTGGGTATTCACATCCAGTATAAGATCCATTTTAAAACTTTCACTTTCACAATGGAGTCGGGAAACTGAAAAGGAAGGAAGCAGCACATTATACACAACTCAGCTGGTTTCCAGTACCTATGTGATACTGCAGTCACTTGTTAAGAAAAAATTACACCTTGCATCTGCAGAAAGAGCAAAAAGATTACTTTCGAGAGTTCCTCTTACCCTTTTTCAGGTAAAAAAAAAAAAAAGAATGGTATCAATGATGACCATGTACATGGCACATAGATGCCTGTATGCCAGTCGTCAGAATATGGTAGAACTTGACCAGATCTTGTGTGTGCAAAGGTGATTCTGCCAAGTGAAATGTATGGTAAGAAAGGAAAAAATTGCACAGTCATGCATCTGCCATACTCTGCTGAAAGGCCTGTATATTTGCACATGTCAATTTAAAAGTGAAGTTCACCATCTATCACAGTGATGTGGAATCACAGAACAAACTGCTCACTATTGGTTAAGGGGAAGAGCTACTGAAAGCAGGGAGGTGGTGATTTAAAAAAGTAAGCTCCTCAAGAATTCTGCCTTTTAGGAGTCAACTACTTTGTCACCTCCAGTTGGGGTTTGTGTGATAAACTCCTGTGCAGTGTATTGAGAAATAGTAAAAGACAGGAATTATAAGAGCATCCAACAGTGTATTTTCATTTCCTTTTCTTTTTCAGGAAAAAAATGGTTGGGTCCCCCTATGCTCCATGTCATTTTTGTTGGAAATTTTCCACAGCCCCCCCTAAATTATAGGAGGGAAAAAGAGTGACCCCCCTCAAAATCATCATAGCCCACCCTCTAGGTAAATTATGAATGCTCCCTAAGTCTGATTGATGTCTCTTCCCCCGGCCATTGAATAAAGATATGTACAAGTCAAATGAAAAGTTTCATCAGCTTTGCTCTCCGTAAACATTCATCTTGAGGCCACTTAGGGTAATTTTCGTCTACATTTGTGCCACAACACACCATTTGTAGTAATTACGGTCCACTACAAAGTAAATCATTTTAAATAGACCTTATTCCTAAAGCAAGGCCTCAACAAAGTGTTATGAAATCTACAGAGCCTGATATCAGTCTTGTTGAAAAGGTCTCCTGTATATACCCACCACGAGTGCCCAACTATGTAAAACATGTTCAATTATTCAATGCACTATTAAACAATGTCAATGTGCCATTCAGTTATGTACAGGGGACTCATAGTGGGTATATACATGAGGTCTCTGCTTGTAAACGGAAACAATTACATACAATGGAACTTGTGGTGGATATATACATGAGATCTCTGCCGTCTTGATGGTCATTGTCATGACACTGCAATCCTTGTTTGCTTCACAAGCAAAGAAGTCGGCAGGAAAGTATAGCGCATCACGGCACGAATGTAGATGGACATTTACGGAGAGCAAAGCTGATGAAACTTTTCATGTGACTTAGACATATCTTCATTCAATGGCACATAAGCATTTTGTCCAAATATCAGTCCGAGCCCAAAACCATCAAAGATTGAGTTCCCCAAGGCTCAATATTAGGGCCCAAATTATTTTAAATATTTGTAAATGACCTTCCAGAATCAATAACTGCTGGTGAATTATTTATGTTTGGTGATGATTCCACTTTTTTAACAGGATGACGATGATGATGATGATGATGATGATGACATAGATCTGACTTGCAAATGTGTCTCTGAATGGAGATTCTTTCTCGTGAAAAGCTGCATTTGCTCATTTATTTTCCCCCGTTTTTGACAACCCTATGAATGTGTTACCAGACTATCAAAGGTATTCTAGGTAGTTGTGAGTCGTTATCTTTGCTTTTCAGTATGCTTTTCAATTTTTTTTGTTTGGTTTCTTTTGTCGTAGGATCGTTGTGGGTCATTTTGAGATCGTCCTAGGTCGTTTGAAGATCGTCGTGGGTCGTTCCGGGTTTTAGTAACTACGATAGCCAACATCCTGCATGCTGCTTTGATTTAGGTAAATGTCGATGTGGAGCTTTTTCGCAGTGACCTGGACGACTACAGTTATGTTTGTAGCCTTTATATTAAACTGATGTGATGATTTGTCCCCGTCCTCGAAACAGGCATGCTCAACTGTTGACACTCGAACACATAATCGATAGAATCCGTCAGGGACGAAACGGGTAAGGCGTAAATTGACCCAAATATAGGCTTAAAATAACCTTAAGCGATAAAAATATTTCTATCCTGAATAACAGTTACCTCTGTCGAATTTTTTCCCTTCTGGGTCGATGTCTTTAACGTCGAAAATGTCCTCAAACAAAACTCCAGCCATGTTGAAATACAAATTGACCAGGCGTTCTTAGGTGTTCTCATGTTAAGAAGAATGTCTAATATTGTCCGGGGGTGGGTATAAAAAGAGGTATCAAATTGGTAAACGACCCTTCTTAGATGGTTTTCACACATTTTTAAAACCTTTTTCCTTCATTTTTAGGAACAGGTTTGAAAGTTAGCCGTCAAATTTTAATTCTAATCGAAATATAGGATGTAATGGATAGAGTTTAATTGCAGACCACTCCCTACCCCACAGAAGAAGCAAATCTTAGCACACGTTGGCCTGGTACTAGTAGTTCCACGTGAGGCTGTAAAATGGCGGATGATGAAGAAAACTATTCTGCCAAGTCGCACAGAAAGAAACAAGCCGGGCCTAAAGCAGAGAAAAAGAAACAAGAGAAACACCCGCCAGAAGCTGCTAGTGCTGAGAGAAATCGCAAGGCTTTCTCATTTAAGTCGGCCGTGAGAGCGGCTCGCCAGTTCCGTCGAAAGCAAGATGTTGAGACGAAACGACATCACGAACCAGTTGTTGATCGAACGCCACTGGAACCTCCACCATACATCGTAGCAGTGGTTGGACCGCCCAAAGTCGGTAAAAGCACGCTTATCAACTCACTTCTGAAGAATTTCACCCGTCAGCAGTTGTCTGTTGTGAAAGGTCCAATTACTATAGTGTCAGGTTAGTGAACCTATTTATTAGCTGGACTGTTGTGATCAAATGTTCGGCCACACGTGTTCTAAGGATCGTAAACATTTACTTTGTCTACCAAGGACTCCCTGTAAATGAAGGAATGAACTGACATGTGCAGCGCTTCGAAGTTGTTGTCATCTATTGTGATTGCATTACACTTTGTATTTGTGATTGCATTACACTTTGTAAGCGCAGAAACTTGGCAAACCATGATAAGAACTACAGCTTAAGAGCACTTCTAAATGTGTCGTAATCAGATCATGGGGCTTATAATGTTTATATATGTCAAATGATTATCTTTTCAGGAAAGAAGAGACGTCTCACTTTCATTGAATGCAATAATGACATCAACTCTATGATTGATGTGTCAAAAATTGCAGATCTGGTAAGTTCTCGGGGATGAATTTTTGTTGGGTATGCTATATAGCAAGGTTCTACAAACACCTTAATGTGACAGAGAAAGGAATGACCAAGATGCATCCGAACCAGAGGATAGACACTATGAACTCTTTCCAAGCCCAACTAGACATGATTTGTTAATTGCTATTTAAATTTTTATTATCTTTATTAATTGCTACTTAATTTTGTTCCTTGATTCTTATTCTTGGTGTTATTATAGTAGTAGTATTATTATAGTATTTATCCTTAGTATTATTCTTAGAGTTACAAGGCCGCTGACCTCTTGCTAAGAATCATCACATAGATGGAGTGCAAATATTAGGAAAATAAATAAATAAATAAATCTCCCAAATCATTCTACACTGTTAGCAACATATGCCAGTCTGCAGCCTTTCCTAACATCTAGACAGTTTGGAAAACTGCAAAACTCTATTCAAATCAGCCTTTGTAATCCCCACGATATCAACAAACTCTTCTCATTCAATCAATTTATTTTCGTGTTTTTTTTCTGTTACCAAGTTCCCATTAATAGCATACAGGTGTAGCTCCCTACAATTCCTTTATTCGTTCTGATGAAGAGTGAACAGATGAAGTGTCAGCTTTGGAAAGTCTTTATGGGGGCCAATTGACATTATCTACTCAGTTGATAAAACTGGTGAAAATATCTTATCCTACGGTATAGCTTAAAAGTAATTTGACAGTTCGTTGAAACTCAAACCTCAATACTCCATCCTCAATTATCCAAAACTTTGATGATCAAGGCTCAGTCGAGTTTCAAGACATTTGAGTCAAGTTTCGAGATGCTTGTAATGAGTTTCATACATCTTCAAACAAGGTAACGAAAGAAATTTCATGTGATAAATTTTTCATACGACTTAAAAGCTTTTGTGGTTTTTGGGTGACAACGTCATTATTTAAGGAATTTAATAATTATTGTAATATTATTTTGAAATTAACACTTTTACATTTGTTTGCACAATATTTTCTAGGTTCTCCTCTTGATTGATGCTAGTTTTGGGTTTGAGATGGAAATATTTGAATTTCTGAATATCTGTCAAGTGCATGGCTTCCCGAAGATCATGGGTGTCCTAACCCATCTTGACTTGTTGAAAAACAACAAAGCCCTCAAGAAGACGAAGAAGAAACTCAAAACTAGGTTTTGGACAGAAGTATACCAGGTGACCTCTTAGTTTCTATAGTCACATGTAACCTGGTCACTTTCATGAGTGATCAAGATGTAATTTCTCTTTACAGCATCAATACAAAACCAAGCAGCCAACTGATGAGAGTAAAGAAAAATATCAATTAGGGGATTATTAGTTGATGCAATACCAAATTCTCCAAACTGCCACCAGTAGAATTGTCTGACAGAAATTAATTAATAAGTGAAATTACTTAAAATGAGATCTTTGGAATGAAAAATTTAAGTATCTTATGCAGTGTGATCAAAAGAGTTCTGTGTCTAATGCGCAAAATTTCTGGCTACATTTAACGACCTAAGATGTTCTTTACGCTGATGTGGAGAAAATTCTTCAGTTACTTTACTTCATTCTCCTGCCACACTGCACACTGTCTCCTATTTCTTGGTAAAACCTTGCTTTCAGGGTCGACATTTCCAATATATCTTGGGTCAGAAACTTCTAACTGTTCCTCTTTCATCGCTCATCATTTTTGTCAAAATATGTCTTATTTGAGATGATATTTACTTTATTTGCAGGGAGCAAAACTGTTCTATTTGTCAGGTTTGGTATATGGCTCTTATCCCAAAGTGGAGATACACAACTTGGGACGATTTATTGCTGTGTCAAAGTTTCGACCGTTAACTTGGAGAGTTTCTCATCCCTACATCCTTGCAGACAGGTACATTTTTATATCAATTTTTCAGTTTTGACCACTTTTAAGTGACATAAGAATGAGGAGGTTGAGTTAAACATACAAAGATGTTCATGCACAGTGTGTTGCAGCTTGTTGACGCATGGATGTCACCTGGGTTCCCATATGGGACATTTAAGTTTTTGTGCATGCACGGTGGCTGCATCTGTGAACAGTGCCACAAGGCCACTCAGTCAAAAACCTCTCTATTTCATCCAGTTTTTCTTGATTTTATGGTCTTAATGTTGAGTTGAGCATTGTTAAGTTTAGGGTGAGTTTTCTGAAAGCCTTCATGGAGGTACTTTTATTAAAAGGTTTGATTTTACATGGTTTGTCACCATTCGCAGCAACACAGAGTATGTACCTTACATGTATCTTTTCATTTCGATATTCTCTATCAATTTTCTGAATAGTATGTATCTTCTCTTTCCAGAATAGAAGAGTTGACAGATCCAGAACTTATTCGTCAAAATGCTAAATGTGACAGGAAAGTGTCCTTATATGGCTATGTGAGAGGAACACACCTACAGCACAATTCCCAAGTCCACATTATAGGTAACTGTGACAGTCATAAGACTGATTCTATACTGGCTATTTCATGCAAGGTTTCCTGTTAATTGTGGGTGAAAAGATAACAGTCATAAGTGAAAATTATGTAGAGTTATTTATGGAGAACATACCGGTACTCAGTAAATGACACAGGGCTAATGCTCGAAACATCAGCTTTTTTATTCGTTACAGTGGCCAATTTACAATTTCAACTTAGTTGATATAACCAAATTACCTTGTTACCCCCACCGACGCAGCACCTCAGTTTCTTTAGAAACTTTCAGCCTTTATACTTGGTAAATAATGATTTTAGGATGTATAGGGTTAAAAGTCCTTGAATTTTTTAACCCAATATAACCTTTGAAATGAATTTGATATAGTGTAGGCACCAATCTTGATTTATTTGTGATGTCAAAATATTTTTCTTAAATTCTTTCTTTTTTCTTTTCTTTTTTCCTCTCTCTTTTCCTCTCTCTTTTGTCACTTTTCTGTAGGTTGTGGAGATCACACTCTTAAAGAGATCAGCCTTTTACCAGATCCTTGTCCTCTACCAAATGCAGAAAAGAAACGGTCACTGAATGAAAAAGAAAGACTCATATATGCGCCTATGTCTGGAGTTGGAGGTGTTGTATATGACAAGGTAGCAGTCTAGAAAGTTTAACGTAACAACTCAAGGCAGGAAACTTTATTTTCAATTCACTTGTCCATTTGGACAAGTGTTGTGTGTATTTTACTTGTCTGGACCACAAAACTACTTGTCCCAAAAAATCGGTAACAGCAATCTAGGGTTTCAAAAATCCTCTTTTTATCTCAACCATGCCCCAATTAAGTGAAAAGCTAATTAGTCAATAAAAACATTCAATGCAACAAATTGAATAAAGGTATATTCTTTTGATACCTCTCTAGGTGTATATCAAGTGGGCAATATTGAACAGTTTTTCTAGCCTTGCTTGTGATTCCTGGCTTATTCGCAAAAACATCTTTTGCAATGGGCTGTCTTCCTGTTTCTGGTCATTCTGCAGTCTCATATGGCAAATAACATGGCAACGACTTTTTGAATGGGTAGTTAAAGTTTCTCGTCTAAATCCTTGAACTCCATTCCCACATCCAATATACATCGGGCTGCTTTTATCTGCTAATTCTGGAAACTTCCGACAAGTGGAGCAGTGCATTTTGTTTGTTTTTAGCTCATAACAAACCCAGTCGAATTCCGTCATCCAAGCCGACTGAAATTTTCTTATGCGCTTGGTTTCACATTTCTTTTTGTTATCTTCAATCTTTTTCCTTTTGGAAGGAACATCCTTGTCTGTATTGACGTTCCTAAGTGCTTCCATGATCTTTTAAAAAATTTAAACAATTTTGATTGAGACATTGCCGATACTTTAGCGATTCAGGTCTCTGACCGTTGCAGCTCATGTGATCAATGTACATGCGATTGTGCTGTAAAGCGGGGATCGCATGGAAATCAATTTGTCTTTGATTTCTTCGCTAAACGTCGCCAACTTCCACAAAAAGAAGAGAAAGTTTATTTTCAAGGCACTTAGTTATAAAATACAGGAAAAAATGATTTATTATTTATCCAAAGTCAGGCAACGTCAGAGCTGTACAACTTACTTGTCCAATCGGCCAACTTCGATCACCTTTTTTCTTGTCCAAATGGAAAAGTTACCCACCTCAGACGTTCAGACGGGCCAAGTTTCCTGCCCTGCAACTGCGCTCTTTCAGATTACAGTGATTAATAGGGGGAAAAATAGGGACTTTGACAACCAACTGCTCAATACAGGGTGACCACTTAAAAATACAATGCCAATTAATACAAGTTTGCCTGTAATTATTAATGCTTCAAAAAAAATCTTAATCACCATAAACCAAATTCTAGGTACAAGTACAGATATTGTTGTTTTTTTTTTAATTATTATTTATTTGGTATCATTTTCAGGATGCAGTATATATAGACCTCGGTGGAAGTCAGGCAGGAAAGGAGAGATCCAACTCTGCAGAGGTGATTTCTCTAAAGTTTGAGTGCAGTCCTATAATATTTGAGAATGAGATTTAGAGACACTGAAGCTCATTGATAACAGAATTGATTGAAGTGTTTTTCTTACTGATTTGTGTTAGTAATCATCTGTTACATGTGCTTTCACTGAAACTAATCATTGTTCTACTAACTGTTTTTGTCGGTAATTTTTAGGGTGCTAATCGACCAGGAAGTGAACTTGTGTCTTCTTTGATTGACACAAAGCAGACAATTGACAGTAAAATGCTGACAAGTCAACTGACATTATTTAAGGTAAGCTGTGGATAGTGTAGTACAAGAACATATACACTATTCAATAGGTATTCTGCCAGGTAAAAAAAAAAATACTTAAAATGTTTGTAGTTACACAGCTTAACAAATTTAAAAGAATTATTAATAAATGCTTTTAAACAAGGAAATGCATGCAACTGTTGTCATTTTGACTGTAACTCATGCTTTAGTGTCACAGGGTCTCTTTTTGCTGTTATTTAATTTATTATTAATAGCAATTCATTGAGAACAATTAACATTACAGTCTCTTGAACTTCTCTACCACAATTCTCCTAAATACTCCATGAAAAGTTTACTAATTGAATTAACCCGTGCCTAATTGAAGTCAGTCTTATTTCAATCTATTTTTATTTCTAATTTGGATATATCAACAAAGTTGAAATGGTAAATTGGCCACCGTAACGATTACAAAAGCTGACGTTTCGAGCGTTAGCCCTTCGTCATTCGCTCCGACGAAGGGCTAACGCTCGAAACGTCAGCTTTTGTAATCGTTACGGTGGCCAATTTACCATTTCAACTTTGTTGATATATCCAAATTATTTCGTTAC